CTATGATGTGAAAAGCTGAGTATTAAAAGTCAATTAAATAACAACAAAACTAAAAACAACAACAACAATGCCAACAATATTGGTCCCATAACAGTAGCAGTAGCAAAAGTCAACAGCAAACGAAACTATGTATGTATGTATGTATGTCAGCGATGCTACAAATTTACAGCAACATTCATTTGTTCGTACGTACGTATGTATGTACAAACGACAAAGTATATGAGGTGAATTTTATAAAATTTCATTACATTCTATTTTTTCATTTGTCTATACTAAGTACGGGGGACATGTGTCTCTGGGGGAGGGAGCGGAGCAGTGGCAAAAAAAAAAAATCGATCGAATTGACGGTTAATTGAAAATTGGAAGTTCAAATGTGAGCAAGTGTCGGGCACTTTTCACTGCCATTGCAAATAAGCACACAAATATATACTTTTGTACATACATATGCTATTGTATATATGTATGCATTTACATATACATATATATATATATGGATATACACAGTTGTGAGCGTTTTTGCCAGAATTCGAGTAAGCAAATTGTGTTTTCGCAGCACGTGAGCGCAATAAAAAGAAAAACTAAAGAAAAAAAACTGAAAAAGAAAACATGAAAAGGAACAACAACTACATATATATTATATATTCAAGCGAACAAGCCGAGCGCGAATAACCTGCAAAATCAAACGTTTTTTGAAATTGACTATTTGCATACCCGCATGATAGGTGAGAAATTGCAAAGCGTTAAAGTAGCGACAAGAAGCTCTGAATGATCGGCTGGTGAAAATATTAGAGCTGCACGGCTAATGCCAATGCTCTAACGTTACTTTGTTGCTAATTAAATATACATACATACATACATATGTAAAGAGATATTTGTATATTTCCACAAAAATTCGTTAATGGTGATATTGTCGGACACCTTATTATTGCAAAAAAAAAAAAAAAAAAAAATTAGCAAAATTTGCTTCACAGATCGAAGCCGCTTAAGTGGTAAAGCCGCTCTAGAGGTTGAAAAATAGACTAATTTTGTAAAATTTATTGTAGGAATATGGAAAAAGGACTAGAATTTCTATTTAACCATTTCATTGAACAAATATTGAAGTATAAAAAAATATTCTTGAATTATTAATTTGTTAAAAAATAGCGGTGATAAAGTCCATTACTTAATTCATGTTTTTTTTGAAAGGCGTCCACGGGAGGACCGATTTCTCCTAAAGGATGAGACCTAGAACAGAAAAGCAAAAAGTTGTATAATCTACAAACTATGGTCTTTGGAAGTACGTACGGATTTATTTTTTAACTAATTTTTTTGAAAGCTTCGGACATTTGTTTTAAAAAGATTGATTTTTGTCTAAAAACTACGCACTAAATTATTAAAAAAAAAAGTTTACATTTAATCGAAAACGGCTATCTACTTCAAAAAAAAAATGTATTTGTGCAGCTACCCAAATTTCAGATAAATTGATGCAGTAGTGTTCGAATAATTTTTCGTGACTTTGAGAAAAACGCGTTTAAAGTTTTCATTATACTCAGCGCACGCTCTGAGGGGCTGCAGCGAAGTGAAAGTTCAGCTATTTGAAATATTTTTTTCACTATAAAACCAATTGCATTTAATTTCTAGGACACAAAGGTACGCTGTGACAAAAAAAAATTGCGTCTTCCAAAGTCCTCGTGTGGCTTTAAACCTAAAACGGGGTATATTAAAAATAGCGCTTTGCAAGAACTGTGAGTAGGATTAACAAGAAAGAAGCGCCGAAGTCTTTATACCCTTCAAGAACTTATTATATTATTAAATTCATTTCAAAATGCAAAACCCGATTTCGATGATTTTCAGCAAAAATATTTAATTGAATTTATATGTCGAGAGTAACAAATTTCACGCTTCGAAAAACTGTGAGATTAGTTTGCGCTGGCCGAAACTGACCGACATTGTTAAACAAACTCAATTCACCTTTCTGAACCAATCAAATTGGGTTCATATATTTTCACGCTGGAATTTATTCTTATCATTACAGGTATAAGCCAATGAATTTTCACAACGCTTCTGATTTACCAAATATCTGAACATAAAAGTCGAAAGAGTTCTTGATTGCATTCAATTATATACATACATATGCACAAGCATATGTACGATATTATTTATGTAGATCTGTATTTTTTATTAAAAGCCTTCCATATAAAGTTCTTATCGCTATTACGCTAATGCAAACTCAGACATATCTTAATGAAAATTAATAATTGATAAATGTATTTTGTTTGTATGTACGTAATACACTAGTAAAGAATATGCATATATGGTTATAATTTGCTTTACAAATGAGTTACCAAATTTAGTTACTTGCATTGCAAAAAAAAAAAATAAATAAATAAAAATCATAAAAATATGTAATAATGTAATAAGCGAAGCAAAACTTTGAAATTAATGAATGGCTTGAGAAAGTGTGGAAAGCAACTAAAAAAATAACCCAATTGAAACAATAGCGAACTGTAAAACGCAATAAAGAAATTCCCAACGACTTAACAACGAAATACATAAATATTTCAAAAATCTGAATGGCTGATGCAGTCAAGCGGAATTTCATTGATTCTATTGCATAGTGTATTAGTATACAATTGTACACATATACAAAAGAAATGGTGTATGACATGCTGCTTTTTTCTCATGTGCTGCTTTTCATTGTCGTTGGGCACAAGCCTTTATCTCATTTGGCGAATTTCCAACTAAATTGAAAATCAATCTGTCATTAAACATGTTAGTAAGCGAAGATTTCCGGATTGACATTAATTAGTGAATAGCAAATCGCGGATAGATCAAGAATAGCATTAGACTTTAGGTTTGTGGTAAGAACTAAAATTAGTTTTATACAGTTTTGACAAAAAAAAATTTATTGATTTTTTTTTTGTTTGGAGGAGACGAAAGTTTTTAAGCAAATCTTCAAATTTATAGAAGTGAAAAGAGAAATTTATAGTTTTTCTTGTAGTGATTAAATAAGCTTCTTACAAAAAAAAAAACGGCTTAGAACAAAATTTAAGTTAAGTTTTTAATGGTGTACAGCTGTATACCCATAGGAAGTTTGTGTTGTGTGAGCTCTTATTTTTACTTTTTCAGTTTGATAAGTGTATTACTCGTGTTTGCAGAAGGGTAGGGTTCTATGACCTGTTTTAGCGTTTGACATACTGTTACAATACCAAACAAATTTTGTGAATAAATTTAAAAAACAAAATAAAACTGAGGCGATCGCGATTAGTATCGCCTTAATTTGTCAAGTGAAAAAAAAACAGTGAATTTCGACGATTGGCACAAGTGAAACACCTGAAAAACGTGTTCATTTCATTCGTTGAGAACGCTACTACAAAATTGAAAAAGAAAAGTTATCATCCGCCCTCAGCGCATGCTAAGTGAAGCAGATAAAAATTTATTTAGTTTACAAATTCTTCACATAAAAAATCGGTTTATTTTTGTAATACTGGTATGGTGAAATTTCGCAAGAACAAATAAAATTACTAACAAATGCGAATAGCTTGTAGCAACAAGCTCCGAAACGTGTAGAAACTTAAGCCTTTATTTTTCAATTTTTGTTTATTTTTGTGATGATCCTCTCACTCAGCGTTTTAAAAATTTGCTTTTCCCCCGATTGTTAATCAGAAGTTAACTCTATCGCACGTTCAATCGGTGCTGCATATTAATAAATGCGTCTGTACACACATACATACTAATGAAAATTTATATAAAAAATGTATTTTTGTACCCAGACAGTGAACGTGATTCAGTGATGTATAATTAAATTGGGTTGGTCTTTTATCAGTGCTTATATACATACTTATGTATATATGTATAAGCTAATTATTAAGCAATAAAATTTCGACGTACAGGTGGAAACACTATTTTAAAAAAAAGCTGTTGCCAGAAATTAATTTAAACAATTTTTGTAACTATCTATAGACTGTAAGATACTTTGTATTTTGCCATATCTATTTTATAAAAAATATTATGCTGTTCCCTAGAACGAATATAAAAAAAATATTTTATATATTTTATGTCGTTTAAAAGGTTTTGTTACGTACATATTTTATTATGAAAGGACTCTGAAATAAGTTCATTTCACTATATTTGTTAGCCAAATTCAAATGTCTTCTAATGTCAATTTGCTCTAGTGCTGTTGCAAAAAATGTTCAATAGGGAGTTTTGCTTGTATACGAATATATTGTATTTATTTCCGTCATGAAAACCGCCTATAACGTGATATGATTATAAATATGGCACCTAAATTACGTTCATTTTCGTTAGGGTGGGCAAAAATATAATCAGCGGAATAGAGAATTAAGGAATTCTGTTGTCACATCTAACATAGCATTGAAATATATGCAAAAATCACAGTTATAAACATGATCTAAAGGCTAAAAATCAAAATCCATTTGGAAAAATTATAAAAAAATTTGATCAATTAAATTACGAAGCAAGTATGACTAAGTGAAATCTCTGCATACCCAGAAACGATTTTTTATCTATTTAATTTTCTACCATTCTGCCCTAATAAACATATGCACATGCGTGTACCTGGTAAAAGTTTGGGCGTGCAAATACTCGTTTGTTGACTTTTTCAATTTAATCTTTTCTGCCACTTATTTGTACATAGATGTGCCTGTACGTATATATGTATGAGGTAAGCTTTCTGCTTTCAAACAAATTTTTGCAAAAAAAGGATTTAAAAAAAAAAATTCGAAGACAATTAGCTTTGCCGGTTTTACTTGTCTTGAAGTGCAGTCACCCGCGTTAACAACAACAACATATGTTGATATGACTGCGCCACATCTTTCGAGTTTACTGATCGCTCGGCCACCGGTGTTTCGCTGACAACCAAAATCTCCACACACACACACAGATACAATCGCTCATTTGTTTGGTATCTTAAATAAATAGCGTTTTAATATTAAAAGTATATACAAAATTAAGGCTGTTAATAATCGCCCACCCGCTAAAGCACATGACCCCATACTTACCCTGGAACTTGTTGGTGTATATGGTGTTATACTATTTCTTTGATAGCTGTTACAATTGTTATTGTTGTTGCCGTTGTTGTTATTATTGCCGTTGTAATTATTGTTATGTGTATTGTTGGAATGTCCTGCGAGTGAAGCCGCAGTGGCGGCAATTATAGTTGCTGTAGCCGCTGAAAGTGCAGAAGCGTGAAAATGTTGGCCCAAATGTGGCGTACTGCCAGTGCCGGAAGTACTTGTAGTGCCACTGCCGCTTGGCGTATGATTAATGTTGTGCAGGTGAGCAAGGCTACCGATAGTTGTGAGACTTTGACTAGCTGCTAAGATTTTACTGTGCTGATGATGATTGCTATTGGAATTACCACTACCACTTGCATGAGCACTTTGTACACTATTGCTACTACTTGTACAATGGATCGCCTTGATCTGTTGATGCTGATGTTGCTGTTGTTGTGTACTCAAAGCATTCTCTATTCCAGACGCTGTTGTGCTCCAGACTGACATTTTGTCGTAGCAGCGTTAGCTGTAGCGTAGATATAGCTACGTGATTGTACGCCATCGTGAATTATTCCGCACATTTTGACAAAATAAAATAAATCAAATCACAAAAAGAAATTAACTATTAGACAAAATATTGCAAAAACTGCAAAATATTAAAAAAAACTTCTTTGAATGTGTAGAGCGTTTGGAAAACGTAACAAGTTCGTTTGTTGAAATGCAATTGCGCTTTGGAAAGTTTCTGTTTTGCACAAGTACAATTAAAGCGACGTCGACGACTTAAAAACCAGTCGCCAATGAACACAATACGGCACAAAAATATAAATGAAACATATGAAAAATAATGTAGTGATAAAAATTCAATTCAGAAAATCAAAACAAAAAGAAAAAGAAAATATTAAAAAGCAAATGACAGCTGATGTGAAGTGCGACATCTGGCGGAATGTGATGGAAAGATTTTAGGAGAGCTTTTCTTTCATGTGTGTAACAACAACCGTGAGATGGTGCTGTGTCTTTCGCAAAGTGACGGTAAAAGCTTATAAAAAGTATTGTATATTATTCAAAAAGTAAATAATGTTTTTAACTAGTTATAATTATGATTTTTGGGTGGCATATGCATAAATACGTACATTTACTATTTTATAGTCTTACAGATTTTTATCATTTTTAAAAATATAATGTATATGAAATTAACTAAGAATATTGATTTTTTTTGTTAAAATATTTTTTTTTTTTGTTTAAATAAAATGAACTAAAATATATGCCATTATTCAAAGATCACACCAAATACGTATCTACAAATATTCAAATATATTCATGCAAATAAATACTCACACCCAAATATTAAAAAAAAAAAAAAAACTATAATTTATATATGATAACACTTTAAAATTTTCAATTTGCTCTGCACTTTTAACGATTAAAGTACTTAACGATCCAGAAATATCTCGAGTGTTTTGCTTAACTGAAGCTAGAAATTTCAATTTGGTAAAACCACCTCCGGCTACACATACGCGCACATTGTACCTACTAACATACATACATACATATGTATGTCTAGATTTTTTGCACATACATATGTATTGTACATAGATATATTTGTAAATTTCTCATCACGACATTTGACATTGAGTAGCGCGTGGAAATACTTAAAGTACTTCAATGGAGATTGATTTACATACATACATACATATGTCCATAAAAGTTAGGGATGCTGTTGAGCTGATGACGAACTGTCGAAGTCGGTGCTTTTGAAATTTGACTTAACTGTACCGAAGCCATAGTCAGAAATTGCAGTTGGAGAGTTTTTGAAAAAAAAAATGTGTAAAAGAATATTAGCGGTCTTTAAGAAAAAATACATTTTCCTTGTTTAAAAATTATGAAATATTTATGCGATAAAAAAATTGCACGTGCAAATTTGCAAACATAAGTACAACTATGATGAGATTCGATGCATTTCGTTTTTTATAAATATTTTTTGACTGCATTGTATTTTTTACCGTTACACCTGCTACGTGACCAAATTTGAATCGATTTACAAAAATAAAAATAACTTCTCGTATACAATATATTTATTTCATGAAAAGCGAAATTAAAAAAAAAAGAATATTAGAATTTCAAATGCTTTTATTTATACGATCAAAAAGCGAGTAAAATAGAATTTATAGAGCGAACGTACATACAAGTACGTATATACAGGTATATACATATGTTAAATCTTGGTATAAAGATGCTGTTGTAAAAATTTATGCACATTAACAAATCCTTTTTTTTGTTTTTTTTTTTTTTCATATGTAAATATGTATTTTGTGTTTCACTGTAGAGATAGAGACGTCAAAATTAAAATACAACATTCTAACGGTTGACATGATTTCAATTTGGAATGACATTTTTTCATTTCGAAAAGGTTTGATGTTTTATGTAAGGTTTGGTTGAAATGAGAATTAAGAAATGTTGTTTAAAATTAAAAAAGATTTTTTTTTTTTAGATTTTTCTTGGATTCTTAAAAAAAATACTTTTTAATAAGAGCAGTCGAAAAATAATTTACTTAAACACAAGCAAAATTTAATTTATACATAACTTATGTATGTTTGTATGTATATCCAAGGAAAGGTAGCTAGAAATAAATATCCTTAATTTACTATTTTTTTTAACCATTACAGTCACTCGTCGCTTGGTGTTGGGTTTAAAAAATAAATTTTTACTAGCGACCCGTCATTAATTCGGTCAGTTCCGAAGAGATGGCTCCACCTGCGTGTTATGCCGATCTTGGAAGATATTACCAATATCATTGGAAAGCTTTCACAGCTGCCAACAATAATTACTGTGTATCAGCGTCTGTGTGTGTCAACAACATGGTTTTTGCCTCTTCGAAAATGTCCAGATTTCTATTTAATGAACAGCATTAGCGGGAAGCTTTAATTTTCAATTTTAATTGAAAGAAATGTACAGCTGATACCCATGGAACTCTTGTGGAAGTCATGCAGAAAGATCCAAATGCAAATCAAGGTGATTTTTCAATATGACAACGTGCGCCCTGCGTGGCTCTGGCAGTCAAAAACTACCAAGAAACGAAATAATGGAAGTCTAAGCCCACGAGCTTAGCTTCAGGTACCTGATATAGGTTGTCAAATATCCCCCTTCCGCTTTTTTGCTCTTCATTCAATGCTTTATAAAAAGTGTTACAGGGATCGGATTTAGTTAAAATATGCGCCGTTTTGTTCGATGATCTGTTTCCATCTAGACGGCATTTTCATAATACCTTCCTCGTAGAAGCCCCCCTCCTTATTTGCGAAGTGTTCGGACAGCCACTTTTCACAAGCCTCTTTTGATTTAAACTTCACACCACCAAGGGCATTCGCTATGGACAGGAACAGGTGGTAATCACTCGGCGCTACGTCCGGGCTATATGGTGGATGCGTCCGAGCTCCCGTAGCTTCTGACGAGTCATCAACGAAGTGTGTGGTCTGTCGTTGTCCTGGTGGAACACTACACCCTTCCTGTTGGCCAATTCTGGACGCTTCTGGTCGATCGCCTGCTTCAAGCGGTCCAGTTGTTCGCAGTAGATGGTAGAATTAAGCGTCTGGCCATATGAGAGCAGCTCATAGTGGATGATTCCCTTCTAATCCCACCAAACACACAGCAAAACCTTCCTGGCCGTCAATCCCGGCTTGGCCACGACTGTTTTCGCTTGATATTGTCGTATGTGATCCATTTTTCGTCGCCAGTCACCATCCGCTTCAAGAATGGGTTCGTTCCGTTTCAGCAGCATATCGCAGGCGTTGATTCGGTCCAGAAGGTTTTTTTGCGTCAAATTATGCGGCACCCAAAAATCAAACTTTTTTTTTTATCCAGCCTTCTGAAATAGTTCAAAATAGTTTGGTGATTAACTCCCATCTCCTGGGCGATGTCACGAGATGCCATATGCCGGTCTAACTCGATGTATTCCATGATTTGATCGGTATTTGTCGTCACAGGTCTTCCGCCGGCTGGCTTATCCATGGTATCGTTTTCACCGGCTCTGAATCGTCAAAACCATTCCTCCGCGGTTCGAAGTGATAGAGTACCATCCCCCAAAACACCATTAATCTCACGGAACGTTTCTCTAGCGGATTTGCCTTTAACGAAGGAAAACTTTAAAAAAACTTTAAGCGCGAATTTCGGCGTTAGTGAACTCCATATTTACACGTCTATAACTGTTGAACGCAATATCCAAACTAATCATGCATAGGCTTGTTTTATAGGTTATGTCAAGACCTTTCAGGAAGGGAGATATTTGACAACCTATATATTCCATTTAGGGACATCATCCAAAAATTTAATCAAATCCAAAAAACATTTTTTTTCGAATAGGGTAGTCCCTGGTTCATATTCAGATAAAAAAAATTTCTAATAAGCCTGATCTTAGTATAATTCAATGAGTAGTATCAGTGATCACAGTAAATAAACATACAAACAAACAAGCGTTTTTACATACATACATTTATAGAATAGATTTATTTAATAATTTTAATTTTCTTCGGCATTTACATAATCGAAGGAAAATTACAGCCAACGTCATAAGCAGATAGCAGCCTACGAGTGACTGAGGGCAGCTCAAATCCAAACTCATTCAAAATTAGTGTTTAAAAGTGAATTAACTATGCATTCGGAGTGTTTAAACGTGTTGCCTGGCTCTGATTGCTTCTAAAAGAGAGACGAGTAGAGACTCAAGCACCTACACGTATGCATTCCTCAATGTACTCGCATGTGCTTATATTAAGAGTTGTGCTACATTAGGGTGGGAAAAGGAAAATAGTTTTTTTGCTTGTACCCAGACCTTAGAATGGAAATTTTTTATACATATACAGGGTGCGTCACCAATATGTGGTCAATGAAAATGTTAAATAACTTGAACAATTTTCAATGAATTTTGATAAACTAATTTTTTTTTTATCAAATTTAAGGCCTTAAAAATTTTTCTAGCTAGGTTCGAAAAGCAACGTCTTTCAAATGAGCGCCTTCATTGTGCAAACAAAACTTCGCTATTTTTTCGGCATTTTCCATGACATATTCCAGCAACTCGGGCGACATCGCAGCGATTTCAGCTCGAGTGTTTTTCTTCAGCTCGTTCAAAGTCTTCGCTTTGTTGGCATACACTTTGCTTTTCAGAAAGCCCCACAAGAAAAAGTCTTGTGCAGTCAAATCGAGTGATCTTGGAACGTTCGGGGAACTTTTGCCGCCAGAACTTCAGACCTTTTTCGCTGGTAAAACAGAGTGCGCTAACATCTACCGATACCGATCCTCGTTGACAGTTTCCCCAACTTTGAAGAACAGCTGCAATATTTTCATTTGATCGGCGGTGACGTGGTCGATTGGTATGTTGACGGTTCGCTACAGAGCCGTGAGTGTCGAAATTCGAAATTCGCCAAGCGTGTAATAGTGTCAGTTTTAGGCGCATTTCTCCGGGAGGTGCACACAGAATCGTTTTGATAGACGTGTAAATGGCTCTTTGCCTATGCCAATTTTTTGCCGGGAATGATCTAGATGAAAGAATCATATTTATTGTTCGACTTACTTGAGAATTAGAACATAAAGAGTTCCTTGACTAGGCTCATATGAGGAAAGCTTTACTTTATTTTCCACATGTTTTACCATAATATAATAATTATATACCATATATATTAATAATAGTTTTAAAAAATAAATAAAAAACCTATTAAAATCTTAAAATTCCATGCGGAAGAATTTGTTTACTTTTTTTCGGAAAATTCCATAACTTTAAACCATATTTTTATTAAGCATACCCAATCATTAAGAATTATTTTTTTTAAATTTGCCTCCACATTTTTATTATTTGCTTGAATGTAGCAGAAAACATTTTCTCATTGCTGCATTTTCGGACCACCCTAATGAATATACATATAAGTGAGGCTAGCAAACTTATCAGATCGCATTGCAAAAATTAATTCGCAGCAACGCTTTATTATTACTTTCAATTGCCTTTGATTACCCGCAAAGAAATTTACCGTAATTGCTAAGAACCCAACATGAAGGAGAGTGAAGAAGCGATAAATGCTTGATGCATTTAACGATTTTCTGCATACATTTAAAAAATGGGTGTGGCATTTTATGTTTTGACTTTCAATTGAGCATAGTTTACCCATCCAAAAAATGCCCAAATAAACATAGCAACATACATACATACATATACATAAGTACATATATATATATATATATTATATTATATGAATGGTCATTAATAAAAATATTAGTTACACATTTCCACATACATATATTTTTTTACAAACGTACTTATTAGCTCTTCAATTCTCTTTTGGGGCCGCTTACACATTCTTGGCCTTTGACGTCGTTACCTTCGACGAGATAACTGAGTTTCATTTAACCGAAACATACATACGGTCATGCATATTATATATGTATCTAGATAAGTACATGTCCCCTATGGGCTGGTAGCTTGTTGTTGTTTGCGTACGCTTTTTTCATATTTCCTTTCATCGTTTTGAACTTGTTTGCAAAATGTGCAAGTTATCGTTCGAAATTCTATTTTTAGGCATTGCTGTGTTTATTTTTAAATAATTGTACTTACAGATGTATATATATAGAATATGCTTAGCGGTTTGCAGTATGGAAGAAAAGGCTAATTGAAATTCACAATCAATTAGGGCAACAGGCATATGAATACGCGTGTCGGCATTACGCTGTAAGATGAGAAATTTCAACGGCCTGTTCAAACAGGGCACAAGATTTTGTATTGAGACCACGAATATAGTGTTCACACATACGCTCAATTTAGCTTTGGCGGCCGCAGTAGCTGAGTAGTTAGCGCAGCGTTCTACCGTTCAGAGGGTCACATCCAAGTTTATAGAAAAATAATTACCCTCACCAGGCGGAGGGGCTGACATACGAGTGTATTTCTGACATGACATAAAACCTGTTTATAAAAAAAAACATCCGCTGTTTGACGGAAGCGTTTGGGAAAACATCAGGACGGTCATTAACAAGCGAAGGAAGATCTTGGACGTATAAAGGGTTATCAATTTCAATGTTTTAAAAGTACCGGGCTGTAATCTGACATCTGTAAAATTTAACTGTCAAACCAAACATGATTTGTTTTAGTTAAAAGTCAGGCAATTATGAAATTGGGTCGCTGGCACGCAAAGACCGTGCTTATGCGGATAAACTTTTAACTCTTGAGCACTTGAAAGTCAACATTAGTCAAGATATGGCGAAGATACCGCCCAATATTGACCGATAATTGGTTGAAGTGCGTGCCAAGGTTCAAGCTTTATATGCATATACTCAGTTTTATCCATCTTTATTAATAAAAAGATGAATAAGTTTATAACCGCGTCCGCAATAACCGAGCGGTTAGCAATGCGTACTGCCATTCTGAAGGCCACAGTTCGAGTCCTGGTTCAATCATCATCCAAAATGATAGAAAATTAATTTTTCCAATCAAAGTTTAAGTGACTTGAAGATGTCGTAATTACCAATTAGTTACCTGTGTGAACATAATAATATGGGATTTGGCTATTGCATCTTTAGAGAGCAGAACTGTTATTTGTAGCATACATTTGGGAGCGTTCTGGCTGGTGAGTGTCAATGGTTGCTCAAAATACCGTATTTAATTTGTAAAATATTTCTTCTTACCTAAATTCAAAACATTTCAGAATTCATCACTTGGGTATTTTTTGTATTAATTTTAAAATGTTAAATCTTTTGCTTTTATTATAAATAAATTAAGTAACATTTGCGTTTTATTAAAACTACTTAATTACATATGCATGTTCAACCGATGTTAAGTACAATGGCATTTATTATAATTTTTCTCTGCTCAACAAAACACTAAGACTACCAATGATTAACTAAAAACATAACTATAAAATTTATTTAAATATATATAAAAATTTTAAAATGATTAATTATTGTATTAGTAACAAGTGACTTCTTTCTTTCTTTTCTTATTCCTTAAAAGCTAAATGATTAGATCATAAAAGTACTTTTCCATTTTGGCACTGGTGAGAACAAATGAATTCCGGTCATATGCGCGGTCAAATGGTTTGTTCTATGGAGCCCATTGACTTTTTGCGCTCGTTCACCTCGAAACGTTGCATGATTTTGGCGACAATACGCGATGGCGGTATATCCGGATTGCCGGTGAGCCCACGATAGCCGAGCACGCTGTGATCGGCAAGATTGCTGGCCAGCTGCAGGCGACGTACGAAAGCCTCTGTATCGATGCCGCGCACTTGTGACGGCTTGAGGAAGCGTTTTGGTATGCGTGAGAGTATATCTTCCGAGCCGACTGGACCGAAACCCAAATTAATCAATATAGCCTCAGGGTCAGGTTTGCGTGCCTCCAACAAACTATCCACACTCGAGTAGCGGCTCGACGATTCAGAGTGTGTGGAGTTATCGCGATTCAGCATGGCAAAGTGGTGGCGACGCAACGACGGGCTAGCCGGACTGGTGGCCGTGTCGGTGGTGTTTGTTGTGGTAGTGGTTGAGGAGTCGAAGGATTCCTCATGCTTGAGGCGACGTTCGCGTTGTTGGTGGTGATGAAACTGATGCTGGTGATTGTGATGTTGATGCTGATGATGTTGAAAAGTAGTAATTGTGGCGGCGGTTGTAAAGGAATTCGGCAAGGATGATGGCTGACCGTCGAAGGCCGTGCGCTGGTGTGAAAAGTGTGGCATGCATTGTTCTCCAAATGCACGTGTGTTCGGCTGACGCGTGGCGCCCGTGTGTTGTGGTACGCACTGTTGCTGTTGTTGCTTCACCAATTCCGTCTCCTCATCTTCATCCTCCTCTTCCAAATCGGCAGCGTAGGCGAAATCGGCATCGTCCAGGTCGGTGGGCTTTTGACGTTGCAGACGCTTGCGACGCGACAAACGCTGTGTGCCAAATACGCTGGGTGAACTATGCGACTTCTCAAACAGGTTTGAAACAGGTACACTCTGCTGCGTTACTGCTGCCGCTGCTGCTGCTGCTGGAGTTTGTTTCGTTCTAGAAATATCAGGTGATTGCGTTTCCGCTTGCGCTTGTGAACTATGCTGCTGTTCGTGCTGACGTTGTAAACGTTTCTGGCGTAGTTCGCTTGCCTTGCTGTGATTAAATGTGACTTGTGCTGTCACTGACGAGTCGGCCAACTCAGTTGGGTTGGCATTTTTAGTGCAATTGCTATTGCCACGGCTGCTGTTGTTGTTATTGTCATTATTGTTCGGCTCATTAGCGTCGCTGTTATTGGTGTTGTTGCCCGGATTGCTGCCGTTGTTGTCATTGCATAGCTGCATTTCCTCATTACAACTATACCACATAGCGTGTGTCGTTTCCATTTTGGTTGAGGTGTCACAAAGGATTTGGTGTTTTTCGGTTTCGCTTTCGGAAATAGCAATGTGTTGCGCGTGTAACGGTAAAAATATTTGAATTTTTTGATTTTGTTTATATTCTGCTACGCGCTTTATATGGCGGCGGCTGTAACTGGCTGACCTTGCGTTGTAAACCAGTTTCTGATGTTGGCTAGTCGGCGGCTAAAAGCTCACTCGGCTCCCTTGGGTATCTGTCTGTCGGCGAGATTTCAGATTCGCTGTTTAGTTGTGCTCTGTGTGTGTTTGTGCTATTTTTTGCTAATTATTATATTTATTTATTTTTTTTATTTTATTTTTTTTTGCCCACTAGTTGTGAGTGTCAATGTCATCGCTTGTTTACAGTTAGCTCTATGTGTGCATGTGTGTTTGTGTGTGAGCAGCGTTGTTTTTATGGAAGTTCAAATTGTCATTATTTTCGTTTTGTTATTTTATTATTGCACTAAATTTTTGTAAATTTTTTATTTTAATTATTTATTTTTTTTTTGTTTGAATTTTATTCTGCTTTATTTTTTTCTAATTTTGCTTGCTTTATCACATATGTATATACTTATGCTTGCGGGAAAACGTTGTGCAATAAGCATTCGTTTTTTTCCGTAGATGAATTAGTTGTTTGTTTGTTTGTCTGGTTTTGTTTTTTCTAAAACGCAATTAATAATCATGAGCGCGCTCTGCTGCTATCACTTGTTGCTGGAAAATTTTTAGACTTTGAGTTTAAGCTTTGTTTTTAGTTTCGTTGCTTGTTGTTTTTTAAATTAATGTTAGTGTAAATAATTGTATAATATTACCAGTTGTCTGTTATTATTTAAATATTATTTTATTTCACAGAAAGCTTTTCTTCTAAAACTACTTCTTATATCACAACTTCTCTACAACAAATATATGTATGTATATATCATTTCATTGCTACCTCTTCTTCTTTCAGATATCTACGTCGTCCAAGCGTGCACCGGTCACGCTGACTTATTTTACCGCTTAATCCAAAGCGAACTCAAAACGTTTGCACTTTTTCTCAACCCACCAACTGATGTGGAGACTGTAACGATCGTGAACTTCGCAGCGGTGTCAAGTAACCGCAAACTTTTCGTCAATATCCCAATTCGCCACTACATCCGCCTCCGGCCTTTTAACTCGTTCCTGCCACTTTGCGTTACTAAGAATTTTCACACTCCCGTCTACACAGTCGTACTTATTGTTTGCTCTACTTTGTCTTTTTTATTTATTATTATTATCGAAACTTGTTTTTTTTTTTTGCTGTGATAGTTGTTGTTATTGTTGTTATGTCTGCTTTTCTCACACGTTTGCTTACGCTTATTGCTTTTCTATTTAATTAACGCTCTTCGATTGTTTAGTTGTTGTGGTTGTTGTTCTTGTTATGTAGAGGTTGGCGAAAACCTCTTGACGCGCTCGGCAACCTTTTTCCACTGCCTACCCACTACTTAACGACAGGGCAAACAACGAACGAGCTGTCTTGCATTTTATTTTGAACGTTATCTCCTCGCTATTCCGGTATTTGCTTCGCCGTCTATTTTACGTAGTATTTGTTTTTGGTATTTATTGCCTGTAGTTTTTTCTTGATTTTTATTTATTTATTTATTTTTATTTTTCTTTATTTTTCTTAATTTTTCTTTTCAGTTCTTGTCTTTTTTGCTGAATAATTTTTTCATATTTTAATTTTTTTTTTTTTTAAATTTTTTTGTTTCACTCTTTCGCTTGCTTCACCGCTTGCACTTTGTACTGTTGGCCATTGTTTGCTTCAGCGTTTTTTCGATTACGAATTCATGTAAGCCCATATGAACTTGCGTGTGTCATTAAATGTCATTGATTACTCGTAATCAGCAAAAGCAACAAAAAATAAAAACAAAAGCAAATACAAAAAAAGTGGTGAATGCCGCACACTCGCCTTTAGCGCTATTTAAGCTTTCCTGCCGAAATCAGTCTTTATGAAATTTAAAATTATTATTATTTCCGCAACCCGAAACTGTACGGTTCCACAGAGATACAAATATACATAAACATATATACATATATTATATGCAAGTGCCAGTGTGTATTCACGTTTATTGCTTTTATGGTTTTAATATTATTTTAATTATTTTTCATTTGATTATTTATTATCTGCTCTGTTTTTGTTTTTTGCCTTTTCTTCTTCTTTTCTTCAATTTGACTCGTCGTACATTGCCGCGTTCAATCGCGTTTATTGCTTCAACAATGGCTCACTCGATCGTCAGTTCGATGTGTGTTCCAGTGTGTTCTCCGTTAAACGTCTACCACTGTACTGTTTGTGTATGGCTTTGTGTCTCGTGGCTCTAACCGCGACCGTAAAAAGCGCATTGAAGTCTCTAATACGGCAGCAAGTCAACGACGAGTCGCAGCTTTTACGCTTGCCGGTATGTGCATATGTATGTACGTTAGCAACGACGAGCGCGTGCGATCGGCTGGGTGACCAAACCCAACCGCAGTGCTGATCCAAATCGCTCCAGTTGTGAGCGTAGCTCAATCGCGCTCCCGCACGCCCCACACTCTACTCGCCTTCATGGTCGCTCACTTGATTGTTGCTTGCGCTTCTCAGCAATCGAGCGCTTTCCAGTTTTTTCGGTGTTTTTATTTTGAAATTTCTTACTTGAAATTTGAAGTTAAAAGAGCGAGTTCAATTGTGTTTTGTTATTGCCGTGCGGTGATTTAAAGAATATTGCTAATTGTGTTGTTTTGTTCGTTTTCTTTTTGTTTTTTTTTTCGTTTTTACATGCTTACCTTATTGGCTCATCTCTCCAACCAACAATAAAAAAGCAGTAACTAGTCTTTCCAGTCTCTTAAGCTTGTTTGTATGGTTGCAACGCAACTTCATTTCGTGCTCTCACATGCTTACAGCTGTTTTCGTCAGATCTGCACTCTCGGCACTCTCTTGGATAGTTTTGGACTTTTTTGCCTCAACTCAGGGGGAAAACCCTTGTGAAGCAACCATGGCTCGTTCCGGTTTGGACGATTTTCAGTTTGTTCATAATTTATTTTCATACTTTATACTACTATATATGGAGGTGCTTATATATTTATTGTTTATATATAAATGTAAATACTTTAGTTGCAGTCACTCAGTTTGCTTAAGTGTTTTTTGTTTTGCTTTTGTAACGAATTCGATATGCGGTTTAGCTTGTAGCACAGCCAAAGATCCCCTTTGAATAGGGCTTTGTATATGCATATATGTACATATACATAGATATTTTAGTGGTTATGGGAAAATATGTGTAAATTGAAACTCAACGCGTCGTTTTGCTTGAAAAATTTCATTTGGCATTGGAGATGAAGGTAAAGCTTTTTTTTATGGTCCGGATATTGAGTCTTTTTAGTGGCAAAAAATGTAATTTTTTCTCAAATAATTTTTGTCCTTTTTGGCTGTAAAACCATAGGTATAGCCTAAAGGAGTTCGCCTTCATCCTTCTACCCAGAGTATACTTAGGTTGAGCTTGAAGGCCGCTAGTGGTTTTAACTTTATGCGAAATAATCGTCTCTGGGCACTTCCAGGTGAATGGTGCTCAAAAACCGCTTTGCAGCTTTTTTGAACTTTTACACAATGTTCCCGGAAATCTTCTCTCGAGGATGGACGCCGAGAAAAAAATCGACATCCACCATGTCTTCAATAGTTTTAAAGCAGCTTTCAATAACACGGAAAGTAACTATCGCTACGCTGCTGCGGTTGAACTCGGTGTTCCCGAATAACTTAGCGATTTATAACCTGTGAAGGGATTTTCGGTCGAGCACCTACATTGATTTCAGACAGGGCAGCTCTCTATTGTGTAACTTTTTCAATGTATTGCTGAAGAATATAATACGAGCTGTAGAGCTAATTAGAGAAGAAACAGTCAATTAAGATCTAGATATTATCGTCGACTTAATTCTTACTCATTAAAACCACGACATAACCAATGAACCTTACTAGAAATAGCAGGGCTCCCGGTCCTTTGATGACTTTTACTACTCTCGCCTGAGCCTAGCAAGCTGCTGCAAAAACAAAAACAACGTACAAAAACAAAACTCTGTAAGTCGCTCATTATTGCCTCACTGCTATATGGTGCAGAAGCCTGGATGAAAACAAAGTTCGATAATTCGGCATCAAGCGTATTCGAGAGAAAGTTTTGAAGAAGATTTATTCAGATTTTTCTAAGCATACGTGTATACTGCAGACGACTTAGTTCAACGAATCAAGAGATATCGGCTACGCTTAGCTCGTGTTATGTCGTCCACATGGACAACAGCTTCGAAAGTTTTCGTTATTATAGCTATCAGGTGAAGCTTGAACCAAGGAAAAGTGGAAGCTTTTGGAAAGAACAGATGGAGTTCTATGTCAACTTAGAAGAAGTAGAATGATTTCAAATATATTCTATTTATTAATACAACGAGGTATGGATATCACAAAGGAGAAGATTTTCTTGTCAATAAGACTTGGGAAATATTTTCAGTAAAAGGATTAGAGGAGGGTAACCGTTGGACTTATTATTGAAAAAGTGCTATGGCATAATTAACCGAAAAAAAATTGAAATGCGAAACACTTTACTTTGTTTATTTATGCATTTAATCTGACTTTGAAAGTTTTTAAATCACAAGAACCCTGTTGTAAAAGCCACTCATAAAAACTATAATTAAATGCCATTTAAGGTGATAACGGTAATCAGCTGTGACAAGTGACAAGAGAGTGATTTATACGGATGCGTTTTCCATAATGTTTAAGTGCCAATTAAATGACAGTAACTAAGCTGCCAAAAGATAAGATTAGGAGTAATTGAAGAAAATAAAAAATAAACAAAAGAATTAATAAATAATTTAAGACAATGCGATGTAAGGTAAATCTGCAGATAAAACACTGGTTTGGCTCTATAAGCATCAGACACGAAGATTTTTACTGGGAAGTAGAAGATAAGAACACCTATTATGTACGAGTATGTACTACATAAATATATATATGTATATGCCCAAATGATGCCTGATAATTCACACTTCAAATTATCGTTAATTAAGTCAAAATTAAGTAAGACAACTAAAAATAGAATTATGACAGACAAAATTAGGTCCAGTAAAAAATAATCCATTATTTAGATGGTTTTACTGATCTGCATCCCACGTGCTACATTCGATTGGATTATGTCAGATTGCGTTGAAACAATGATATTTTGTATTAAAAAAGATAAAGGTTTAAGCTTTGCTTACTCAACTTAGTTGTTATTTTTTTATTAATTTTTTAAGCCAAAAGGCGGGTCAGGTAGCTGAAAATGTGAATTGTGTTACGTTCCAATAATTTTCATATAAAAGATGAGGAAGACTAATTGCCCAAAATGTTGATGAAATAATGAAACTCGTTGAGACTAAGCGTCATGCGAGCACTGCTTCGATGGCTCAGGAGTTAAACATTGCACAAAAAATAGGTTAAAACCACTTGAAAACGGCTCGATACACAAATAGCTCAAAGTAAGGACGTCTTAGGAGTTAGCGAGAAAAAATTCCATAGATCAAATTTTCAGCTGCATAGCTCTGCTGAATCGTAACTAAAATTGATCCATTTCTGAAGCGAATGGTGACTGGTGATGAAAACTTACAGCAACGTCAAATAAAAACGGTCGTGGTACAAGGGCATTTTAGCAAGATTGCAGGGCAGAAAGCTTTTATTGTGTGTTTCGTGGGATTGGCAAAGAATCATACACCAAGGGCGGCTCTGCATTCGGAGCTGTACTGTCAGCAATTAAATTCTCTAAAGGAAGCAACTTCACAGAAGCGCCAAGCTTTGACCAACAGAGGGAGAATTGGATTTCCTCAGAACAGCACGAGACCACATACACCGACAGTGACTCGCCAGAAGCTCTGAGAGCCCGGTAGAGAGGTTCTTATGCATCGAGTATTATAGCGAATGCCAGCTGTTTCTGCCTATGGCGAATGATTTGAAGCCTATGAAAATCGATTGTCACAATTTTTGCCAATACATATAAGGGTTTCCATGAGAGAGGCATAATGACATTACCATCATAATGGCAAAAAGTTATCGAGAAAAACGTTGCATACTTGACGTGAATCCGATAATTCTAATTATGGCGAATAAAACCTTCAATTTATTTGTTACATTAAATTGATAGCGAAAAAATTTTAATTGCATTTTTGTTGCTCCAAAAAGAGAACAAAACAAAAAATTAACAGTAATAACAATTATAATAATATTAAATGCCAGCATGCAATTTGCAAAAGTATAATATACGATATTAATGAAAGTATTGAATTTTATGTGCAATTCACTTATTTCATTCGTTAATTGGAACCTAATAAAAGCATGTTTATTTGTATGCAGCATGTTCGTATGCAATCATATACGAGTGTGCAACACAAAATGCTATTAAAATTATTGCGATTGGCTTTGTTGCATTTAATTGATATTCATTGTTCTCAAATATTTATGCGTGCAATTGTAATTTCATAGCAGAAAATAATAAACATTTTAATTAATATAGTTTTCATTTTTTTATTTACTTCGAAAATACATACATAAATACATACGCGTATGTATGTAGAGATGCATGTTTAAATGATATTATTGCTCTACTTATTTGCTTGGCCATTTAAATTTTAAGCGGAAAAGTGTGGTAAACCATTGAAGAATTAACTATTTGGCCTTTTCGCTGCTGTTTTCTGCTTGTTTATTTGGGCGAAAAACTCTGATGTAAGCTGCATATTCTTTTGAAGTTGCTTTTCTTGCTTTTTTCTGCTTTTGTTTTTTGGATTTGCGTATGTTTTGACTAAGTCACTTGTTAAGTAAATATTTCGTTGTTCTGTTGAGTGATAAAGCATATGTATGTATGTATGTATGTTTTGTATAATATTTGTAAGCATTAATTCATGGACTTTTGGTTAATACTCTTGTTAAGTATTCTTTGACATTCACCTACTTAAAATTACAGTAATTATGCAGAAGAAATTTTTCGAACAGAATTTGAGGTGAAAGGAGATTTTTAGACCGCAAATTATAGATTATTTGAAAATAATTAACTAAAAGTTCAAAAAAAAAAAAGAAATTATACAAATGCTTCCTCTTCCAGCTGCCAAGGTTTTTTTTTTTTCAAAACATGTGGTTTTCCAAAACAAACTGCATATAATTTAATGCTCTATTATGAAGATAAGGGTTTTCTATTATGTTTTAAAAATTAGGTAAGCTCTAATAAATTTCAGCCGAGAATTTCCGACCTCTTTTAATGCCAAGCCACTAATCTGCTCGAACTTATTTGCGTTGACAAGCAGCTTCCATAACCATACCTAAAGTAGTGTAAAATTGCACGATCTTTTGGGCCACACTACAGATCCACGACACAAAATAATGCGCTCACAAAAAGTTTTCCTCAATAATTTAATTTTCATCTGTTTTCAATTTTTGAATAACGAAAATAATAACTGAGTTTTGGATTTTGGACTTTGAGATTATTGAAAATTTTAGAGGTTTAAAATTGCTTTGGCTAAAAGTATTTTAGCAGGATTGCCAACTATATATAAATTCTTTAATAAAAAATATATATATATATTAGGTCCAGTAAAAAGTTCGTTCGGTTTTTTTCGGTTTTTGGCGTTATTGTCCATAGTACTAGTGTTACGAGTGGCATCATGCCATACTATACGGCGCTGAAAGCTTGTTTATCAGCGCTAAAATTTTGTCTTTGACAGTTTTTCGATTGATTGACTCAGACTGCAAACAAATGGACCGCTTGAAGGCAGAACTCATCCAGAAGAGACCAACTTTGATCAACAGAGGCCGAATTGTGTTCCATGAGGACAACGCCAGGACACACACGTTTTTGGTGACGCACCAGAAGATCCAGAAGTGCGAATGGGAGGTCCTAATGCACCCGCCTTATAGTCCGAACGTACCACCAAGTGATTACTATCATTTCCTGTCCATGGCGAACGCGCTTAATTGTGAGAAGTTAACCTCAAGAGAGGCCTGTGAATATTGGATCTCCGAGTTTTTTGCCAATAGGGATGTAGCCTTTTACGAGAGGGGTATAATGAAGTTGGCATTTCGTTCTCAACAAGTTCACGAACGGTAAAGGGTTTAAATCGGACAAATTAACAAAAAGTTATCATGTTTTGAAAAATCAATAAAAAATAAAACTTTTTACTTGACCTTTTCAGACTGAAATTTGTGAAAAATTTAGACACTCACAACAGGTTTATTTGAAAAATATTTTTTAAAAAGTTGCCACCTATTTGATATTTTTACCAAGTAAAACAAATTATTGTATTTCATTTTGTTGAGCTTTTGACTGAAAGATTATTGAACAGCTTTATAAAGTATTAATTTGAAATTATTTTTGAGTAAGGCTGCCAGCTGTTTGAAGTTTTCTTATTAAACAAAAGAGTTGAAAAATCTTATGAGTCAAAACTTTTTTTTGTACTAAATTAAGAATGAAAAACATATTTTTCTCGTTCTTTTGATATAGAGTCTGGAAATATTGATTATTTTTCAACAAAAATTTAGTTTTAGAATAGTTTTTAAAAAGGTCACCTTATCGAATGAAGTTTTTCTCAAAATAACAAGGTTTTCTAAATTTGATTCCTAGAAAAGTTCCCAACGAGATTTCTGAAGTAATTTTCAGAAATACAAAAGAAAATCTCAAATTTTGTCGTCATATTACAGGCAGTTTTTGCAGTATGATTATATATATATATATAATTGGCGCTTTGTAACCGCTGTAGCGATTTTCGGACGAGCTTCTCTGCCAATTTGTGGTTTTGTGTCTTGATGTTTTCCCAATAAATGGAGGGACCTACAGTTTTTATGAGCCGCAATAAGAAAATTTTAGCTTAATTTTTATTTTTAAATTAATTTTCTATAACTTTTTGGATGTTAGTACCTTCCGAATGGCAGTACGCAATGCCAACCATTCGGCTGCTACGGCCGCAATATGATTATGAAATGTAAATATCATGTAATTTTGTTGTTGCGTGCGATCAACAACAAAACAATCGTAAAATGTTGTCACATAAAAGTGCATTGCATGTCACACTGATATTGCCATTTCTTCTAATGTAATATTCGTAACAAAAATTAAAAAAAAACTTTAAAATGAAAATATATTTAATTTCCAGATTATTCCATTGTTCGGTAAACAAATAAATACTGGCCTATAATTAATAGCATGTGAAGAGTATTAGAAAGTTTTAGCAAAACAAATAAATTAATTTATTAGCAACGAATAATTAACAACAATTCAAAATACAGGTACATACAAATGTCAAAGTGGTCATTTTCACATTTCAATAACTGTGGTGCGGAAGTGATTGCTACAAACCGAAATGAACAAATATAATACATACATACTCGCACATATATACATTCATTCGTACATACAAGTTTGGTTGAAAAATTTTCAAAACGCAATTCATTCATTCATTCATTCATTCATTGATTCAATGCGAGTTTGGACCCGCTTCCGCTGCCGCCCATTGCGTATACGTAATAATCGTATGCGCGGGAGCCGTTACGCCGCTACGCCGATTGAACGATATTCGAATTGTTGTCTCAGCAATTAATTAACTATATATGACACTAGAATTACTTAACTACGTGCTTATGAGCATATAAATTTCGAATATTTCGCAAGCAATTAAGATGCATTCGATTACCGCTATATGGATAGAGAACACGAGATTTTAAATTGCGAGTGCTAATGGCCATGCAAAAACACAAAAAAATAGAAACAAAAGCTCGGTGACTGAAGAGAAAACAAGCGTTTTATATTTATATGCACATTTATATGCGTTATGTGTTTGAGTAATAATTACAGCTGCCTATTGAGTGAGGAAAAAAAAAAAGAAAAATATTAACTGACAATATTTGGTTCAATATTTTCTCCCATGCGATAAATTTATTGAATGCTTTTCAAATTATCGAAAATATTTGTTGACTTAAAAATCTCAAAAATTGTCGGCTGTTTGTAATTTGGACCAGAGGCTTTTTCAGCATTTAAAGTTGGGCACCCATATTTTTTTAAGGGATTCAACTCTTCTCCAAAGTATTGCTAAATCGAGCAATCATGGATTGGTTTCGTACCACGTTTAAAATCACTATTAAATTTTTTTTTTTGAATTCGTTAGTAATTTTTTTTATTGAGAATTTCAAACAAAATTTCGACTTAATATCTGAAAAAATTGTAAATTGCTTAAAAACTCTCTCAATAGCTGTTTAATACACAGCCTGTCATTTGCTTCAAACGCTTGTTGCCACGTGAAGTTGAAATGGAAATGAAAACGAAAAATGTTTAATTCCAATTCTATTTTTTTTTTTCAAATTGATGCAAATGTAATTTCAGAAAGTTCAGGTGAGATGATTGATTGTTGTTACTGTTTGTTTGCCTGCTCACTTACCAGCCTGAATTAAAGATGATTTGCAAAAGCTGTGGAGAGGAAATCGTGTTCGATATGCACAATCCTATTTTGAATTAATCATAAGCGGCAGTCGCTTTATTCAGTTTCCTTCCAGCACTTGATTGGTTGGTGTTCGAAAATAAACTAAAGCGAAAAAAATATAAATAAATTATAATAAATACATATTATGGCAAAATATAATAAAAAAACTATTTTAATGCAACTACAGCAAAATAAATATGTTTTATTGTCATTTGATTACTCTATTAACTGCTCTACACACTGCCTGCAGTTATTATTATTTGTTTGATTTTACAATAGCGGTAATCTTCTGTAAAATATTAACTAGCCGACAACAAATAATAGTTGCGTAATAAAAAAATATAATAATCATAAATAAATAGAAATTACATAGATTGTTTGCTACAAAAAAAAAGGAAAAAATTACTATCGTGAGTGAGCGAAAAATTGGCAACATAGCTCAGCAAATAATACAGTCCAAAAAAAAGTAATCAAGTGAAAGCGCAAGAAAGACAGCTGAAAACGTGATTAGTGCGCATGACTCTGAAACTATAACAGTTCATCAAGCACAATTTTGGATTCATCGATTTAATTCCGGTAAATTTGCTGCACAATTTCTTCCTTGATATGGGAGGCTAATGAAAGTTTCGATACAAAAATGAAATTTGTCTAGTCTGACCATTATGCCAGCACTATTTTGATTGTTCAAGAATTAAACATTACCATAAAAGAGTTTGGAACCACGATGAGTACTTAAACAAGCCGAATGAAAAATCCCTTGGTCCAAAATTCCATCTGCCAATCGCTACGGACTCATAACAAAATGGTCCTATTTCTAAAGCGTATGGTGACTGGTGATGAAAAGAACAGTGTGTCGGAACAAACGGTCTCCACATCAGGATGGACGGCCAGGAAGATTTTGTTGTGTGCTTGGAGAATCGGCAGGGAATTATTCCCTATGAGCTGCTCTTAATTTGGACCTGTCAGCAATTGCACCATATGAAGGAAGCAATCGCCACAAGAGGGGATCACACTTATCGATGGTGAAGTGACTCGCCAGAATATGGTAAATACAGTCCAAAATTTAATCCGAGAATAAGCTATTACTTCTTACTAGAACAATTCTTTGCTCTAAATTCATTTATTTCCCTTTTACTATATTCAATTGTGACGTAAGAAAGCTGCTTTTTGAAATTTTCCAGTCTGAGCAACGTTGCCAATTTTCAGTTACCCATTTATATTCTTAATAGGTTTTTACATTAAGATATCTAATACTTTGATTTCTATCTTTAATTTTGTAGCGCGTGGAACGTGCACTTCAAAAGACAATTATATAAAAAAAAGCTGTACAATGTTGCCAATTTTCGGCACAAATCGTAAAGTGTTAATATTAAAAATAAAGAAGGACGTCAGTCTTCAAATAGCAAACCTCGTCGAGTTTTGATAAAAAATTCGCAATATTTTAATAATAATACATATATTTTAAAATGAATAATATTAATATTATACCGCGCGATCGGCGACGTGACCTGACGTCACACCAACGTCACAATTAGTTCAGGCAAATCATTTGGATTTTGCATTTATTTGTAGGAAGTTTTTAAACTACTTCGCCAATTAGTTATGATTGTTTAAAAATTGTATATATATAATATGTACATGATGTATATATAGAAATAATAAATAATTTTACGCTTATTTTGCAAACAAATTACAATGAATTTTCACACCAAAATAAATGCAATAATTATTTTAGGCGTTAATATATATATATATATATATGAAATTAACTACGTCAATAGTGGGAAACGGCGATATAATTACCGCTATGCTTATTATTTATTATATAAAAACAAAATATTTTAAACAAACAGAAGCATTAAAGCTAATTGAGAATTGTTGTTTTGAGTTTTGGAAAAAAAGAAAAAAAAACCAAAATAATGTACAGCAAGAAGCTCTAAAAATCGTATTTACATATATTTATTTTATACGAGTATATATTTATATAACAACATATGCACGTATATGTATTTCCGCTCAATATTATATTTTAATCTTATTCGCTACCGTTAAAGAAGGGTTCACAAGTGCAATCGATTGAAGTCAATATATGCAAAAATATACAAGAAAGATCATAAAAATAAGCACAAGAACAATTGAAGAATGAAGAATTGGGAAATACAGATATATTTTGTGCATGTGGGTAAATTTATTGACATTGAGCATATGTATGGGAATACACGTTTAGATTACATCAAACTTTAGGTGGGTGAGAAAAGAGATCGCGTGCTCGAAGTGGCGAATTTAAGAAAATTGTAAATAAAATAAAAAAATATTATTAAACAAAAAAAAAAGAAAAAATTATTGCACCTCCATTAAAAAATGAACAAAAATAAATTGAGAAAGAAGAATTATCTTTGGTCATGTTGAATTCTTTATACATTTCACGATCACTTCAAATTTATGGTATTTCATTTTAGGATTCAAATTAATTATCATATTTAAAAAATTGGTTGGAGGGGTTATGAGTTGAAGTTTTCTGATTTCGATGATTTTAGCTGCTAATGTTTATTTGTATAAAGGTGTAAAGAACGCAAAAGTTCATACCCTTAGATGCTTTTCCGACGGATTTTCGACCCAAGCCCTTTCACGTGAAAAAATCGTCTGTAAGGGACCTTATTATACAGTCATCAGTTATCCAAGATTTTCAGTAACAAAACGATATAAATGAAATAAGTTATACTACACTCGGCTAAGGTTAGCTTGTAAAGGTTTTTTGGCTCAGATAAGAATACCCTCTAGACTTATAAGAAGAAGAGTTTTTATGGGAGAGTAGGGTTCCATCTCAAATTGTTCAAATTGACTTCAGCTGACTTCACGAAATCATAATATCTTTACGTCCATCATTCTGCGATTATTTTCCAAGCAGAAAAATAGGTAGAGAAAAGGCCTGTAGAGATCGAATGAATAGATGCGGGAGAATGCAGGAGGCTATTATATTCACGGATAGCCAGATGCGGCGTTGGTCTAATGATATATTTAACCGTTGTTATATTAAAACTCTTAGATTGCTGGCAGCAAAGCTTACCATCTCCACAATCTAAGTTTCCGACCTTAGAACCAATTTTGGTAAAGAAAAAGCTGATGAGTGAGGAAGTGAAGTGGAACGATCAGGAGATTTGAAATATTTGAACAATTCGCATTGAACAGGTATAATTCCGTATAAATATAACATGACCGGAGCAAAGGATTTTCAAAATAGGTCGAGGAAAAGTTTATTTAGATTTACAGCCAGAATAACGAGTCACAGTCCCTTTAGTAATTGGGAAAAAATAATCTATTTTCGCTAAGAGTGCCACGCTCTCTCTCGAATTCAACTTGGAATACTTGGATTTCAATCAGTGCCAAGCCCCGAATGTTAAAGTAAAAAAGTAAAAGTACATCGAATATAAACAGTTACGTAGGCAACGCCAACTGCTTCGAATGGAAGAATGAAGAGTGGTAGCAGAAATATTAAGATGGTCCAAAAGTGCAGCCACTCGAGAAAAAAGAGAAATAAAAAAATGTATATGAGTGTGTGCCGTTTCTGCTTACTCACTTACTCTTTTGAAATTTTATGCATTGTTGCCAATTTTCGTCGTTGTTCTGTTGATGCGTAAAGTTAATTTTATTAAAGTATTTGTGAGGTTCGATATTACATAATACAATAATTTATTAATTGAAGAGAAGCGACTATTAAAATAAGTTTCTTTTTTTGGCTCTTTCTTAATTACTGTAATTTATTTGAAAAATTTTAGTCGAAAAAAAGTTTTTGCCATGAAAACAGCCTGAAAATGAGTGTCGCACCAAAGATGATTGGAAAAGTTTGTAATTGAAAATGTTCTTGTCCGCAGGGCTGCCATCTATTCACAACTTTAAATTCAACAAAATTTTTAATGCAAAAAAGCTTTTGCATCCTTTCTAACTTATTACGAGCATTTATAATTGAAAGGGGTAAAATTAACACTAATCCGTGAGGAAATTAAATTTTATAACCCGTCGTAGGTTAATTTTTATCTAATCTGAGCTATACCAACTCGTACAAAGAACACTTTCGAGTTGTCATAAAAATTATATTTGCTAGTTTGCCACGCTATTTTGGGCTTAAAAGCTTATAAATATATATATGTATATGTATATGTGTGCATTTGAGTTAATTTAATTAATTATTATTACAAAACGTATGTCATTGCACTACTAGTAAGTATTCGTGTCTAACAAACAAACAACAATAAGGAAAAATGTGAATAAATAAATAAGAGAAAAAGTAATTTTTTCTAAAAATATTTATCTATTTATATGTGTATGTGCGCCAATCCGTTATCTAGGCGAGAGTGCAGCTTGAACTTTTTAGAAAATATTTCCATTTACATACAATACATAACCGTATGTACATATATACGTGTATGTATGTACGAGTACAAACATCCAGCTGTATGCACCAGATGTGTATGCTTTCGAAACTCATTACAAATTCAAATGCGTTTGCACTACACAGACAACAAACGAAACAAAAATAACAATGAAAACGAGCTAAGGAAGGATGAGCTCTACTGGTGTGGCAAGTTAAATGGCCAATCTATGGGTTGAATGGAAAAAGAATATTTTACCCCAGTTATCCATGGCAAGAACAGACCGACGGATACATATAGATCGTTAAATAAACTCAGCTCATAATTTGAAAGTTTTGAAATTTATTTATATGCATTTTTAATTTTTTAATGCTGTATGAGTCTAATAATACCCTGTGCGTGTGCTGCGGTTGGGTATAAAAAAGAAAAAAAAAGTTACAAAACTTGTTGCCATTGTGGTGCATAGAAAATTTGTTAAAAGTCAAGAAGAGTAAGTAGAAATAGAGAATGTGTGAAAAACAAGGTTTTTTAGAAAGAGAAAGCAACAGACTCAGAATTTCAGCGTGGGAAATGCAAGCTGAAAAGGAATATAATTAAGCAAATATTTAATTATTTGGTATTTACTTAATTATATATTTATTTATTAGGCAAATAATTCTGTGCTATTTCCACTAAGCATAATGAAAGCCAAATATATTTTATATTTTGACAAAAGAAAGTATACAAGGTTGCCACCTGTTCGAAAATTGTATGCTGTGAATGCACGAAACGCCATAAAAAGAATGCTTAATTTGAAGAAATTCAATTTGCTTCGGAAATGGAAATATGTTTGAGCAGAGTTGCCAGCTAGTAAAAATTTTAAATTTCATAAAATTGTTCACATACAGTGAAAAAATTTTAACAACATTTCTTTTAAACTGCAGTCGCTTGCAGGAGATTATAATTGAAAATTATTTAGAAAAAATTGCCACTTTTTTGTGAAACTTAAAGCAAAATGGATATCAAACTGTAGATTTTTCAATAACTCTCCAAAGAAGATAAACGAGTTATTACAAAGTCTGGTACGCACTGTAGAGTTCCAAAAAAAAAATTTTTACTTTTATACCTTGCATATGCCTGAAGGTGAATATAATTACCAGAAGGAGAAGGAATAGACTCAACAAAATTTATAAAGTTCGCGCCAGAATAATGAGTTGAATGGATTTAGTTTTGTTTGTCTGTTCGTCTATTCGTCTTTTTGCTCGCAAACTACAATAGTACTCGGTTTTCCATATAATAAAAAAGGAAATATCTTAAAATTGGTGTGGTAATGAAAAGTATGGCAGCTACGACAGCTCTTCTATCTTTTTTTTAAATAAAGGTTGCCACTTGTTGCAAAAATTTAGTTCAGAGTTAAATAAATTTTTTATTTCCGAGAATTGACACTGTAATTTCAATGGAGAATTTCTGTGAAACGTTTTCACTCAACCCCACCGAGTTTCTGACTTGAAATAAAGCTCTTCATAAAAAACCAGCAACCCTTCGGAGGCGGCTTAGTATAAACTCTAGGTCCCTCAATTTATTGGGAAAATCATCAAGACGAAAAAGCACAAATTGGAGGAGGAGCTCGACCGAAAAACGCTTCAGCGGTTACAATGCGCCGCTAATAATATATATATATATATATATATTATATATATGTATAAATAATATATATATATATATATATGAAATACGAGCATTATGAATTTTTGCACATAACATAGGAAATTGCCTGTCTAAGGCCACGCTATGTTCCTTCCGGCTTTTGGCGAAAAATCTCAACACGAGTTTGCGAGTACTCTGTGGCAACATACATCAACCGCACATAATAAAATAAATAAAATATATAATATTTATGTATAAAATTGTGATGACACCAACCTGTTAACTTGCACTTGAGCAACCGGCCGCTAACTCGTTGGCGCTCCGTCTCACTTGACTTGGCAACCGCTGCACAGCTAACTGAGCAGAGGGGGGATGTTGTACGCGGCCTTTGTTGTTGCTGTTGTTATTGTATGTCGTTGCAGCGTTTTGTTGTGCGTTCGGTGTGGCGCGATGTGAATGCAAAGTGCAATTAAGCCAATAAATTGTTGAAATATTTTCTGTTCGCTGCAAAAGCGCATGAAAGTTTATACATAAATAATAATTGTTCGATGCAGCACTGCGGAGGACCGCGTAGTAAACGAGACGATGTACTTGTATGCCTCACTTGCCAAGCGATTTCGCAAAAAAAAAAGAAAAAAAAAACAGATATATATATATATATATATAAAGGAATTTTTAACCGGTTAGATAAATAGCGATTAAAGCGCGCTGATATCGAGCAGATACAACGACGAAGCTGAGCACGACTGTTTTGTCTAAGTTGCAAAGGAATTCTGAAGGGTTTGCCGGATGTGTATTTCGAGTTAGGCAATGGGCCAACTGAAGTCGGTAGATTACACCAGGCAGCGCTCAAATAAGAAAGATATCAAGTGAGTGTATATGTATGTATGTATATGTATATGTATGTATGTAGTTATTTGCTGCCGTCCATCAACTCTGTTTATTTTTATTTACTATATTATTTTTGTTGTTCTTTTTTTTTGCTTTTATTTTCAATGTTTTCTTTGTCAAGCTGTCTTGTCTGCCAACAATTTGTGTGTCTTTCGAATACCTTTGCTGGTCCCTTGTGGGTCCGCCAGTACGCGTTTGTGCTTATCTCGAGTGATAAATTTAGTTGTTGTTGTTGTTGTTGCTGGCGGTTTTAGCTAACACTTAGCGGTGATAATGATGTGAAGTAAACGTCTGTTTATACATACATATGTATGTGTGTGTGTGCTAAAAAATAATTTACATGCCCATAATTTCATTCCTCTTTTGAGTGCATTAGAATAGTTGCATATGCAAGTTCAGAAGTGACGCGGGGGTGGGACTCTTTTGGGCAAGCAAATAACGCCACTCAGCTTTTATGCATTTAATGTGCCGTTTAACCGTTAGTTATGACTGCTGCTGTTGGCGCAACAAGTAGTTGAACGTGTTTTGCGGTGTTTTGGTTTGTTTAACGGTAATTAGCGTGGAAATCTATAGTTTGTTTGGCTTTGAAAACTGTTAGTCATAAAGTTTTTCAATATCAACTTTTTGTATTTTTCGATTTTTAAATTCTTATTTATGAAAATTTGCCGCGCTTTGTTGTGATTTTAGTTGAATTTTTTACAAAATAATTTATTAATAATTTATTTTCACTAACTTCTTAACCGCCTTGCCTTATTGTTTTTATCGAAGGTGTTAGCTTTCACAAAAACAGCCACAAAATATTTATTTCCTTTATTTTTTTTAAAGCACTTACGGGTCAATTACATACTTATTTTTTTATTCATTAGTTTTGTTGTTTTTTATTTATTTCATTCCATTGTTTTTACTTTTTACTTTTTCTCTGCATTCGCTCTTTACTTTTATTTTCGTTTTCACTTAATCGCTTCACCGCCAATTCGCTCATTCGCTCTATTTCATGCCACAGCTTCCAAAAATTTATGCTTTTGCCTCAATGCAAGCATCGCTGCCGACTGTTTATCGTCAGCGCTAACCAATTGCCGCCAAGTTGCTGGTTTGTTTGCCGCCCGCTGTTACTTCCGCCTTTGCTGCTGTTGCTGCTGTCGCTGTTACGGCTACGGCCGCTATGGCCGCTCTGTACTGTTATTGTGGCAGCTGTTGGTGCTGTTAACTCTTTAAGGCCGACATCTCATTGCTGTTGACTAGCAAAATGTTGATTGCCCTTCTATTCTTAACATTATATATATATATGCATATATATGTATGCTTATGGCAAGTATGCTGCCTGTTAAGCATATACAGTCAGCCAGGTGAGCATTGAGAGTGTCGTTAACGGGTTATTCAAGAGAATGCATGCATACATAAGCATGTACGTGTGTATATACATACATTTAGATCTATGCACGTACCCAAGAGTGTGTTCAGTGAGCTTTTAACGCTTTCTATCATGTTAGCAAACGAAGCTTTAGCTGTAGTAGAGAATAATTCTTTTCAATAATTCTTATGGGGAGATCAAAAACTACTTCTAATCGTAATCAGGCGTTTTTTTTATGACAATCAATTTTATTTTCCACTTGAATAAAATCAAAGAAAATTTAAAGAATGAATAATTTTTCGGGCCTGAAATTAAAATTCAATGGCCGACAAAAACTTTAAAAAATGTTTAGCGTCCAAGGCAGCAGCAGCATGGGCAGCTTTTCAGAATGTTTTCCACGATTGACAATTTGTTGGAAAATTATCGAAAGACTGTAGCTAAAATGTTTATAAAGATATATTTCCTGCTTTTCCAAGATTTATCCAAGTCAGCGAAAGTCTATCTCAAGGATTTTGGAATAAAGTCAAGAAGATCGACAACTGTTGGATTCTTTCTCGCATCACAGAAATAACTTTTTGTTCAAACCCATGATTTTGTTTCAAACTATTTTAAAAACCCCTTTCCACACATATATAACATGGAATAGTTCTCTTTATCGCTACAAGGAATATTTATGAACTATTTTTAAAATCTGCGTTATATAGATCTTCCACTTGAGCATTGCAAAAAATGGAGTAAATTCGAGTTGAGAATAGTGTAAGCATTGGCGCATGTATAGGGTATTGATATACAATAAATACATGCAAAGACTTATAAAGGTAAGTATGTATATGTCAATTACTTTTGCAACCGCTGGAGCGATCTACAATTTATTCTAAGCCGCCTCTGAGCGGGAAGGTTTGATAGACATACATATTTATATACATTTGTTTAGGAGCATAATCACTTTCCGATCTTTTATTTCCTAATATATACAGGTATTGTAATTTTAGAAAATTTCTTTAAGCTATAATAATTCAATAATCTCTTCAAAACAAAGCACATCCAACGCACTGGGAATTATGTGTGAGAATGCCTAAAAGTATGCATTCTGATGGGTTAGATTGAGAACATATGGACAGCATTAATACGTATGTTCTCATTGTTTCTTAAGTTACGTACTTCACGACGCAGCAGAGGTAGGGTTGACGAAGTTATTTTTTTTAATAAATATATATATATGTTCAAGTAAAAAGTTCGTTCGGTTTTTTTTTTATAGATTTTTCAAAATACACGTGTATGATAACTTTGTGTACATTTGTCCGATTTAAGTCAAATATGCGATGTTTTGTTCGTAAACTTGTTGCCAACGATATGCCAACTTCATTATACCCCTCTCGTAGAAGGCTGCGTCCCTATTGGCAAAAACCTCGGAGAGCCGTTTCCGTACTCGTCATGGCCGTTTAAACGTACTCGTCATGGTGCCAGGTCCGGACTATAAGGTGGGTGCATTAGGATCTCCCATCCGAGCTTCTGGTGTTTCTGTATTTTTGCGTTAGTTCGTGTGGCACCCAAACATCGAGCTTGTTTTTGAATCCAAGGTTATGCAAATGGTTGCGAGCGGTTTTTTGGCTTATTTTTAGTTCCTGTCTGTTTCCACTATTTCCATGATTTTATCGCAATTTTCGACGGCAGGCCTCCCGACACGTGGTGCATCTTTGACATCGAAATTACCGGAACGGAACTTAGCAATCCACTTTTTTGCTACACATTCGCTTACAGTATCGGGCCCATAAACTAAATTAATTTTTCCAGTCGCTTTGACTGCTTTTTCGCCTTGATCGAAGAAAAATTGTAAAATGTAGCGATTTTTCTCTTTGCTGGTGTCCATTTTTGACGAGCGCTCACAACTTACTGAGTCAATCAATCGAAAAACTGCCAAAGACAAACTTTTAGCGCGAATAAACACGTTTTCAGTGCCGTATAGCATGACATGATGCCACACGTAACACTAGTACTATGGACAATAACACCATGTTTTAGATAAAAACCGAACGAACTTCTTACTTGACCTAATATAGATGAAAATGTTGTTAGATACTAAGCTTATACTCGTAACTAAAGAACGTCAGTGATACACACCAATTCGTGTTGTTCTCGGACTAGAAATGAAGTATACGGAAGAAACATCTGGGAAGGATACCTCATCTGGAAGGCGAAATACGATCAATATCTGACTATACTTGCCACACACCGTAACATTGACATGCCAAAACTTGAATGCATTTCTAGATATGTCTATGCACATAATCGAAGCCAGATAAATAATATAGGAAGGAATGATATTTCGTATTAGTTGGACGTGTGGCTATGGTGTGGAAGTGCGCGAGCACCTTTAGCCGACTTTTTACACTGCACCCATCGGTGGACAAAATATAACAATTGACTCATAGTCTGCACAAACTGGAAAGCTGCTAAACCCAAGTGCGGCAGTTGATTTTTCTAGAAAGATGTTCAGCGGTTTAGCGGAAGGCCCACAATAATAACAACCGACAAATGGAAATTATGTAAAATAGTCTCGCTACTTGACCGTACAGTATTGGTAGAACTGGATTGACAACCATTTAGTGCTACTTTCGGACATTGATTATTCCTCTTTACCGTCGGAGTTGAAGAGGACTATGGATTACGTAGGTGGTCGACAATCATCGGTAGAACTTCGAGTACACACTTCTAAAGTCTTCAAAATCAAACGCGAGGTGGTTTCTTGTACCCGCTTCTGTTTGATTTTGACAAAATCGAAGCTCCGTTCTTCGCCTGACGGCGTTTCATTGATCTCATATGCCGATGACTGCTCGATGTTGGCTGGGATATTGATACCCTCTTCACTTCAAGTTGTTAGCCGGCAGCACCTGGCGAAAAGAGAAAGAAACGCTACTCACAACATACGAAGCAATTAGCCGGCCGGTAGCAAACTAGGCGGCTCCGATTTGAACGCAGGGCGCTAGCGAGACGCAGATGATCGAGTTACAAGCAATGCAGAGTACTACCCCTAGGATCGTGATAGCAAACCGTCTGATGTCGTCGGAACATCACTTACGCAGCGAAACATCAATGCTACGAGTTAAGGAGCATGTCATACAGCTCTACATACAGCAGCCACTGGTCAGGATGACGTACAGATAGTCTTTAAACACTATTTATCGATCATTCGTTAACCCCTTCCTGAATTCTCTTTTAGTGAACGGTGCTCTCGGAATCCAAACATTATCAATTGCAGACGAAGAACTCGAGCTACCTCGAGAGACCCGAGTGATACTGCCATAATTAAGATCTTGATATTGTAGTGGACCTAATACCAAGACCTGATTCCATCGTATGACGGGCATGCTATGAGATTCCACACCACACTAATCTTTGTATGCCCCTTAAAACAACCACGCCACATGCCCCGGAAGGAAAGTTTCTTCTTCACTATGCACTTATTATATGCACGACGACTGTAATATATGTATATATATATATAATTGGCGCTTCGTAAAGGGTTAAGCGAGTTTCGGCGGGCACCTCCTCCAAATTGTGGTTTTGCGTCTTGGAGCCACCTACAGTTTATAATGAGCCGTCTCCAAACGGTTGACGGTTTTATACGAGAAATCTTTATTTAATGTCGAAATCCACTCGGAGGGGTGGACATTTCTTGCCGAGGGGCGACCGCAATTAGACGCTACCGGCAAAAAGAGATTAAAGTTAAGGCAAGGAGCCGAGACCCATATAACGACTACCGGCAATGATGCGCCTATAATTATACGTGTATATGTATATATGTAGGTTTGTTTAACAAAATTAACGCTTTTAATATTTTATACAATCTCAATTCGAGTGTTTACTATGTGCTCGCTCGTATTTGTTTAGCGGTTTAAGGTGTTTTATGAAAGAAGATAACTCAAGGAATCATAAATCTCCGTTTGACCTTGAGAAGCTGTAAATCAGTAGCGAAAATATGCAAAAATAAAATATTTATACAAATACGACAAAGCACTGAAAGATGAGGAATTTCAAAAAAAAACAAAAAAAAAAAAAACGAAAAAAATTTGGCATATTTTTAATATATTTTGGATGAAGTTCGACTATAATCGCGTAGGCGGCTAGTGCAGGAGAAGAAGAAGACAAAAAAGACGAAGAATTTCAGAGTCATAATTACAGTGATATATTTAAACATATTTTCAAAATTTTTAGTATGCAAAATTTGTAACATCAAATTAAATTTTATAATTGACAGATTTTAAAATAATTTTCACAGTTAAAAGTCAAAAAAAAAATGTCCACACCCTGAATTGCGATTGTAATCAAATCTTATATTTCTTCAGCACTAAAAATATTTACAGCCTTACAAATTATAAAAAATGTAAAGAGTGGCCACAAACATACATATATACGTAGGTATATATGTATATATATTTATATTGTGACTCTCACCACTGTACTATAACGAGCAGCTTATATCTAAACTACAGTCCCTTGCACACATCTGTTCACTTCACTGTCAATCTTAGCTCTTGAATTTAACAACATCTTCTGTCTTCAACTAATTCTCATTAGTAGCACGCGTTTGGCTACACATCTGCGGACCCTCGCCAATGCAGCTCGCGTAGGCCATCATGTGTGGTAGTAGATTTTGCTGCATTACGCCAGTGAATAGATGTTCCCAAGGACCAGAGGCGTAGACGCCTACATCTTCACCACCATGCACGCCACTGGATATTCTAATATAGCTGGGCTGTATGGAATCTGAAAGTAGCGGGATGAAGATTGTCCATTAGTGGGGAACATAATACAAACGTAAACACCCTTCCCTATTACCTGGTGTACCCAATTTCCCCGTTAGATCCATTCTAACGCCATCCGGCTCAAGATATTGCTCGGGCCCCACGGCATAGTTCATTGTCGCATAGGGTATGCCATCTTCATCCATGCCCAAATTATTCAAACCTAAAATGTTGTTGCCTCTCTCCGGATAACCAGCCATACTTAGTGGATGACTATGATCGGCTGATACCACAATCAACGTGTCGGCCGGATCCGTCATGGCACGCGCCAATTGTATGGCTTTATCGAACTCCAGGAGCTCGTCCAAGGCGACGTTTAGCCTATTCGCGTGGTTCGCATAGTCGATGAGTCCACCTTCGATGAAGATGAAATAACCCTGTTCTTTTTGACTGAGGAATGCCAGCGCTACGCCAGTCATCTCGGCTAGTGTAGGTTGATAATCCTCGGCTTCGAGATTATATTTCATTAGCTTTGATTGGAAGATACCCATTATGTTTGAAACTTTTGTGATATTGAGCCGGAGCAGTTCCTCGCGATTCTTAGCAATAATACCCTTGGGATGTAGATTTTGCCAACGGGTGAGTAAATTTTTGCCATCCAAACGTTCGCCGGGATTGCCGAATGAGTCAGTGATTGAATTCGGTAGAAACTTGCCCATACCGCCACCCATCAACACATCCAAATTCTTACCAGGCAGTTCGGTGATCAATTGTGTAGCTATGTCCATGCAGTTGGTGGGGTCTTCACCATAAGAACGTACATCAGCATCGGATTCCCACATGCGATTGGCCACATGCGCATAACCACCGGAGGGACTGGCGTGCGTTAGCGACGTGGTGGTAATGAAACCGGTCGCCTTGCCCGCAGCTTGCGCCCATCCGTAGATAGAGGTGAGATGATTGGCTGGATCCATGCTGGCTGTGCAGTTGCCATAGTTGACCTTTGCATTGACGCCGAGCAGCAGTGTGTTCGTCTTCACGCCGCAAAGGTAGGCGGTAGAGGTACACGCCGAGTCGGCTACTTGGGCGTTCGTGCAGTAAGTCTGAAATGCTTAAGAGATTAGTACAAGAAAATTACTTTATACCCAGCCCATGGTACTCACTCTGCTCAGACCGGAATATGGAAATTTTTCAAATGACAAAAGCTGCTCCTCGCCTGGATAACCGACGCGTTGTCCATGTAAAATGCGCGCCGCCGTGATAGAAGATATTGGCATGCCATCACCGAGGAAGAATATGACATTTTTCGCTTTGTTCTTATTCATCTGCTGGTTGAGTTTCTTCAGTAGCTCATTACTGGCCTGATTTTGCCAGAATTTGGCTTCAAGCTCGGACGCCGGCACGCGACGGTTATTCAAAGCCATGCCAATACCCATGTTGTTGTTAGAGTCCCGCACAAGATTATTTAAGAAGGGTGGTGCATGCAGATCGGCGTACGTGTGTGCACAAAACTGCACCGATACCAGTGCTAGCACCAGTGTCCTACATAGCTTGATCGGCGTGTTGTGTAAGCTGTACATTGCGTTGGTTAGAGTGTAGAAGCTGAGAGTTCACGGTGTGCTGCACGTATGCTAATTTCCTCCGAACTACCTTCGAACTGCCGAGCCCACTGTCTTTTATCGCTCGCCCGTGAAATTAATCATCAAGAGCGCAACGAAAATGCACTGTAGGGGATCTTCAGCGCTTTCACGTACGCGTTTATTGGAGGCAGCTTAGTTTATCTGTAACGATTTTTAAATATTTGCATTTACAATTACAGTTTTATTTATATCTTGTGGTCGGATGGGCAACTCAAAGTCAAAACAACTTGTTCGGTGCGAACTATAAATAATCGCAGTACCAAGCGTTAATGCTCGCTTACACACGTGTCTCCGCCTCAGCGGTGAATGTATTTGAACTTTAAATAATTATGTAAGCGGAAGATAAAGGTGGGGGTGCAAGTAATTCGCTAGTGAGGATAGAGTAGTCTATTATTTTTGCAAGAAATGGCTTTAGTGCTCTGCATCTCGTGTTCTATAAGTGCTTTTGGATTTGTCAAAATGACAAAACCCTGTTTGGAACCACTTGGAAAATGCTAGGGTAGAAGCTGAGTTAATGAGAAAAACCTCATGAAGCGAATTTTCATCTACCAATCGGTGCTGAAACTGATCCATTTCAGAAGCGGATGGTGACTGGTGATGGAAACTTACAGCATTGTCAAACAAAAGCGGTCATGGAAGAAGAGCAGTGAGCCGGCATAAGCGACCTCTTAGCAAGACTGACAGCCAGAAAGCTTTCATTGTGTGTTTCGTAGGATTGGCAAAGAATCGTTCACTAAGAGCGGCTCTTCATTCGGAGCTGTACTGCCAGCAATTAAATTCTCTAAAGGAAGCAATTGCACAGAAGCGTCAAGCTTTGACCAACAGAGGGAGAATTGTAGGTCACACACATCGATAGTGACCTTCTAGAATCTCCAACAGCTTGGTTGGGAGTTTGTAATGCATTCACCTTTTAGTTGCTTTTAGCTCGGACCATATTATTACCCTTTGTTTCTGTCTTTTGCGAATGACATGGTGAAGAATTTGCCCCAAAGGAAGACTATCTCATTTTTTTCCGAATAGGGATAGTGATTTTCGTGAGAGAGGCATATTTGATATAAATCGGACAGTTTTTTCTACGGTAAAATCGGTTCAGTGGTCACAAAGCCCTTGCTATATAAATAAAGCCCTCAACTGAGTGGAGAAATAATGGATCACATTTTAATAAACATAATATAAGGTCTTCATTTTAATTGGTCTAATCAAATAAGCGTTACAAAATTGATAGCCTTAACAACTTGGGAGGGAAATAGCGCCTGAAAGTATGCTTACCTAAATTTATTATATCTTAAAAATTGCATTGAAATATAGTTTTTGTAGCACAGCTTTAGGTTGAAATTTCTTACATTAGTAACGTATCACAATTTGTGAGCCTCTTCAGAATAACACTTCAAAAGTTGTGAAAAGTGTTTAGAAAATTATTCTTATAACTGGAGCTACAAAATTTTTTTAAACCGAGTGAAATGAATACAACTACTTACCGCACTAGTTTTGAATTAGCAACTTGCATACTTTACTTATCAGAATGTACATACATAGAATTTTAAATATTTACATTTTAGAATTACAACTTAAACTGATTGTAGCAAATTAAGATTGTGAAATTCATGTTTATTTGCAGAAGCGTTCATTTGTTTTAAATTTAGATAAGAACGCACGTGAAACGTGATTCTATGACAGCTCACGCTATTAACTTAGTAGAGGGTACTGAAGGCAAGAATGATTTTGCAGAATAACTGAGAACACCTGAGAAACTATCTCGTGTGCAAAGATTGTAGTTTAACGATGTTTTGAAGGTCGATATGCCCTAAGACAGCTCCTGCGCACGCTGCGAGGTGAGCAAAAAAAGTAAATATATTTGGCACAAAATTCGTTAAATTCAGTTTCCACGAAAAAACATTCCGAAATGATCTGAGGCAGATCGACTTTGCCATCCACGGAATATGGGTTTAAATATTATCCGAATCCGGCATAAGGGAAGCTACAATATTGTTTCTGGATTGAATGACGTGCAATTAAATTGAGTACGTTGATTTTAATGGGAGACTTATCTCTAATATTTTAGATGTGCTTATGCTCCGAAGCCCAAATACGGACTCGCAGAATTATCTTGTCGTAGCCAAGAGACGAGCTCGTCTCTGTGTAGTTAAGAACGTACAACAACAAACATAAAGATCGTTAGACATCGAGAATTTGCGATCATAACAGGCACAACCAAATATTTTTACGCTTGACTGTCACTCCTGGCTTCCTGGTTTCTGGAGAAAGTGGGGCATTATTTTGAACTCCCTATGTATGGCCGTTAACCTGATTTTAGGCAGGACGAAAGAACAGCTGGAACGATGAAGATTGTCGCACCGTCATGGAAAGAGTTGAAAAGAGGAGATGAACAAAAAAAAAAGAGAAGCCGAAATGCGTTACGAAGACCTTCAAAAGCTCGCATGCAGGGATAATACTCGAAAATTCTACGATAAATATGCGGTGATTAATGTAAGCTTTCAAAGCTGGAGCACACTTTTGTAAGACCCGTGGAGTGGTTTTGCAACTGATGCTCAGATTTTATGGAATACATACTTCTCCTGTCTGCTAAATTTCAGTCGAAATCGAAACCAAATATAGAACCGATTAACCTTCTACTGCACCAGCACGAAGAGCACCAAATAGTGAGTGCCCACCAGAAGGGCAATTAAGGGTTGGGTACCAAGGACGTGGTGACTAAACTATTCAAATAAAGCGGCGAAGAATCAACCAAGAGCATCACCTAAGCACAAAATGATCGGACAAACGCTTGTCTCAAGCTTGGTAACCACAATTATCATTGGACATGCTTCCGCAGTATCGTGCCTAAGTTTCTATTCAACGTACTTTGTGTGAAATACTAAAGCTTTCCAACAACCAGCTGATGTAAGTTTACTTCTATGGCTTCAAACAATTAAGAATAAGATAAAAAGTTTCACTTTAACACAATAAAAAAAAATGAAAATTATCTTGTACCACCAGGCACTCCCAGCCTGCTTTTATGTCGAAAAAATATCACATGCAATTTTTTCAGTTATTTCAAACGAAAATTTCATAAAATTTTAACGGACTCTCGGATGCAGCAAGCTTTTGCAGCACTCAATGGCTCACTTTTTGCGGATTTTGCTTACATACAAACACTCATACAAATGACAGTTGGCGAGTTTTTCCGGCCATAGACAACAGCACAGGTCAACAATTTCTAAATTCTACCAAATAGTGGCAAGAGTGTAATGTGTATGTATGTATGCTTGTGATTTCCGGTCGAAATTCAAGTGCAGCTGTTGCACAGCGAGCTTGATGGTAGCGACTTAAGCCGGAAGTGGTGTAGCTATAAAACGGAAATGACTATTTTGAAAAGCGCAACGGAGCACACATACACATACATAAACAAGCAGATAGACACATACTACTATGTAAGTGTATGCAGGTATATATAATTCAATTTGCAAGCAGTGATATGCTGCATGTGGCAAGGGAATAAATGAAAAAAAACAACAAAAGCAAAAACAAAAAAAATTGGTTGTAGGTAAAGAAAACAAAAATAATCATTTCGCAAAATGAAAAATTTATTTTCTTTGTTGACTCGAATGGTCATTTAGTGTAGTTTGTGTAGACATCAATACCATATAAATATGTGTGATATACCCACATTTGTTCATAATATAATTTATAATTTTTGCCTCAATTTGAAAGCTTTATGTGCAGGGTGCTCCATCTTTTATGTCGGTATGTAAACATTTCCATAAGTGATGTATTTTTACAATTTTTTTGGACTAGTTTTTGAAAACAATATCAATCAAGTGGCTACCTTTCCGTGCTTCTCGGATGTTATAGCATCGAATTCAGCACGAATGTTTGCCTTGAGCTCAAGACTGGCCTGCGTAAACCTTGCTTTTCAGACAACCCCACAAAAAGGGGAAGGGGTTAAATCAGGTTTCCTGTCAGGTGGTGCCTTTTCGCCGCGATATTTTTTCCGATATGCACGTTGAGTTAACACAATGGAAGGACGGTTTTCGATGTAAAGCGTCACTTTTTCAGCGCATTTTTCGGTGTGAATTGACGTTTCCAAAACATAACTGATGTAAACGCTCGGTAGCTAAATGTGAAAGTTATGCAACGTTTACATACCGGCATAAAAAATGGAGCATCCTGTACAGGCTTCTCTTACGACCAATGCTTGACCAGCCAAATCATTCGCCATAGACAGAGAGATTGTAGTCACTTGGTGAGAGATTCGGATTGTAATGTGGATGCATAAGAACCACCCCACAGAGCTCTCGGTGCCTTTGGCAGGTCACTCTCGATTCTGTTGGCCACAGATGGACGCTTCTGGGCGATTGCTTCTTTCGGACGGTTCAATAGCTGACAATAAAAGACCGAATTGAGATTTTGACAACAGGAGAACAGCTCATAGTGGATTATTCCTCGCCAATCCCACCAAATACACAAGAAAATCTTCCTGGACGTCAATCCTGGTTTACAGAAATAATGTATTACTTTTTACTAGACCTAATAAAATTATGTTTAATAATATTTGCTGTGTTTGACTGCTTAATAAAGCTTTCGACATGATAAAAATAGTTGAATTCAATGAATGAGTTATTCTTTACTCTTGCACATAGGTACATATAAACTGGTTTGGAAATAGTTACTTCTGGACTGAACAGTAAAAGTAGGTACTAGTTGGGTAAATTGGATTTAAAGCACTTGCATACTATTAACCTGCGTCAAAAGTAGTTACTTTGCAACTCATCCAAAAGTAGTTACTTGGGAACTGGTCTAACAATCATGGCTGGTCTTAATTACACATCTTTTGCTTGCTTCTAATATTTAACAGTATTTATTTTTAATTAACACTACATTGCATTTTCATCTAAATTGTGGGTGACGAAAGAATTTCGACATGCATGAAATTACATACATACATATGTACATATTAACCTTTGCTCCACATCACATGCAATTTTTGGCAGTCACACCTCTGATTGCAGATGTAGCTATTACTGGTAAACATACAGATGA